TCTCTGCTTGAAGAGACAGCAGCAGGATCAGAAGCAATCAACGATGCTCCTCTGCTGTCCGCCGTTTCCATTCTGATGTGAAGTTACGCAGCTAACTCTCTAAACCATCTATTATCAGGAGCAACAAACCGACAATCGGTTTCTCTAGCTTCAAGAGTCAGCAGCAGGATCAGAAGCAATGCATGATGCTCTTCTGCTGTCCGCCGTTTCCATTCTGACGTGAAGTTCACGCAGCTAACTCTCAAAAACCATCTATTACAAGGAGCAAAAAAACCGACATCGGTTCTCTAGCTTAAAGAGTCAGCAGCAGGATCAGAAGCAATGCATGATGCTCCTCTGCTGTCCGCCGTTTCCATTCCGACGTGAAGTTCACGCAGCTAACTCTCTAAACCATCTATTACAAGGAGCAACAAACCGACATCGGTTCTCTAGCTTAAAGAGGCAGCAGCAGGATCATAAGCAACGCATGATGCTCCTCTGCTGTCCGCCGTTTCCTTTCCCTGACGTGACTTTCCGCAGCGAATCTGAGAATTATCTATTAGGAGCAACAAACCGACATCGGTTCTCTAGCTTAAAGAGGCAGCAGCAGGATCATAAGCAACGCATGATGCTCCTCTGCTGTCCGCCGTTTCCATTCTGACGTGACTTTCCCGCAGCGAAGTCTGTGAATTATCTATTAAGGAGCAACAAACCGACATCGGTTCTCTAGCTTAAAGAGGCAGCAGCAGGATCAGAGTAATGCATGATGCTCGGGCCGTTTCCATCCTGACTTGACTTTCACGCATCTAAATCTCTAAACCATCTATTAGGAGCAAAAAACCGACATCAGTTCTCTAGCTCAAAGAGGCAGCAGCAGGATCAGAAGCAATGCATGATGCTCTGCTGTCTGCCGTTTCAATCCTGACGTGACTTTCACGCAGCTAAATCTCTAAACCATCTATTAGGAGCAAGAAAACCGACATAGGTTCTCTAGCTTATAGAGGCAGCAGCAGGATCAGTAGCAACGCATGATGCATTGCCAAGCTCCCGCCCAGTTGACTTTGATGGCGATGGCGCCAAGAGACGATTGGGGTGTTTTTCGGCCGATATGCTGCCGGCAGAGTGCTTAAGTCCCAAAAAAACGACTGAGTCTTCGAAAATTTTCGACGAGGATTGCCCGTTGAAAAGAGACACTGCGATGCATGGTGTCCCGGAGACATATACACCATTTTCTCACGATCTATATATATAGGGAGACGGTGTTGCTTGCCTCTCCTTGCTCCGAGGTGGAAGGAAAAAAAAAGCTAGGTTAACGGGGATTGCTCGCTCTCGAGTGTAGCAGGTTGCCTTAGCTGTCTTCCATCGGCCCATCTGCTGGGTCTCCGGCCTCTGTTGCCGTCACAGTACGAGCTGCGGTAAGTCTGGGCCGGCGCAGGGAATGTAGTTAGCTGCCACCATGCTGCTTGCTTTCCTTCTGCCGCCGTGCCCCGACCTGCCTTTGATGCGGCTACCCTTCTATTGTTTCAAGTGTCATATCATTCACCGTGCGATCACGTCTCCAGCTTGCCCATGACAGCAGCAGCATCGAGTTGTGCTCACGACACTCGATCGGTCTGAGAATGGGAATGAAGCTGTAGAACAAACCGGCATCGGTTTGTTAGCCGAAAGAGGCAGCATCGAAGCAATGCCATGATGCTGTCCTGCCGGCAATCATCATCAGCTGCAGCAGCTAGCTAGCCAGCCACCATGCAGGAGGCTACTGCTACAGCAAGCTTGGGCGACGGTTGAAGCTTCCAAGGCCTCACGTCTCCAACAGGAGCTAGCTCCCTCCCAGCAGCTGCATACTGTGCCTCTGGCCATTATGGGAGATAGCTGAAAACAGCAGGAGATAGCTTCCTATCTATCTATACCTACCGGTTGATCCTGCCAGTAGTCATATGCTTGTCTCAAAGACTAAGCCATTGCAGGTGCAAGTACAAGCTGAAACCGCGAAACCGCAAACTGCTCATTAAACCAGCCTTGTTTCATTGGATCTGTATACCCACTTACTTGGATAACTGTGGTAATTCTAGAGCTAATACATGCATTACGTCTCTGACCGCAAGGGAAGAGCGCTTTATTAGTTTAAAAACCGGTCGGGCCTCGGTCCGTTAACCCGTGTTGAATCTGAATAACTTTTTGCTGAGCGCACGGTCTCTGCACTGGCGCTGTGTCTTTCAAGTGTCTTACTTATCAGCTCTCGATTGTCGGTTATGCGCCTACATTGGCGGTAACGGGTAACGGGGAATCAGGGTTCGATTCCGGAGAGGGAGCCTGAGAAACGGCTACCACATCTAAGGAAGGCAGCAGGCACGCAAATTACCCACTCCCGGCACGGGAGGTAGTGACGAAAAATAACGATGTGAGACTCATCCGAGGCCTCGCAATCGGAATGAGTACACTTTAAATCCTATAACGAGGATCAATTGGAGGCAAGTCTGGTGCCAGCAGCCGCGGTAATTCCAGCTCCAATAGCGTATATTAGTGTTGTTGCGGTTAAAAAGCTCGTAGTTGAGCTTCATTTTCTGGACTGACGTTTCACCGCCGATGGTGCTTACTGTCACGCTCCGAACGGTTTTGAACTTAAAGCCGCCCGCCGGCTTGCACGGGGTGCTCTTCACCGAGTGTCCCGAGTGGCCGGCACAATTACTTTGAAAAAATTAGAGTGCTCAGAGCAGGCTAAGCGAAGGGCCTGAATGGTGTTGTGCATGGAATAATGGAATAGGACCTCGGTTCTATTTTGTTGGTTTTCGGAGCCTGAGGTAATGACTAATGGGGACAAGCGGGGCATTCGTATTGCGACGCTAGAGGTGAAATTCTTGGACCGTCGCAAGACGAACTACTGCGAAAGCATTTGCCAAGGATGTTTTCATTAATCAAGAACGAAAGTTAGAGGTTCGAAGGCGATCAGATACCGCCCTAGTTCTAACCATAAACGATGCCAACTAGCGATCCGCCGGCGTTAATCCCATGACCCGGCGGGCAGCTTCCGGGAAACCAAAGTTTTTGGGTTCCGGGGGAAGTATGGTTGCAAAGCTGAAACTTAAAGGAATTGACGGAAGGGCACCACCAGGAGTGGAGCCTGCGGCTTAATTTGACTCAACACGGGAAACCTCACCAGGCCCAGACACTGGAAGGACTGACAGATTGAGAGCTCTTTCTCGATTCGGTGGGGGGTGGTGCATGGCCGTTCTTAGTTGGTGGAGTGATTTGTCTGGTTAATTCCGAAAACGAACGAGACTCTAGCCTATTAACTAGTCGACGGATCTCGAGTAATTGGTGTCCAGTTCGCAACTTCTTCTTAGAGGGATAAGTGGCAAGTCTAGCCGCACGAGATTGAGCAATAACGGGTCTGTGATGCCCTTAGATGTTCTGGGCCGCACGCGCGCTACACTGAAGGGATCAGCGTGTTCTCCTTCTCCGAGAGGAGCGGGTAACCCGTTCAAACCCCTTCATGATAGGGATTGGGGCTTGCAATTTTTCCCATCAACGAGGAATTCCCAGTAAGTGCAGGTCATCAGCTTGCGCTGACTACGTCCCTGCCCTTTGTACACACCGCCCGTCGCTACTACCGATTGAATGATTTAGTGAGGCCTTGGGACTGGCGCTCTTGGACGTTCTACCCTGCGTGCCGACTCGCTCGGTGCAACGGGTTCTCCTCGCCTCGAGCTGACGGAAAGATGTCCAAACTTGGTCATTTAGAGGAAGTAAAAGTCGTAACAAGGTTTCCGTAGGTGAACCTGCGGAAGGATCATTAATTAAAGAGCGGAATCGATGATTTAAAAGGAACGAGTTTTCCATCATCATCATCATCATCGTCCCTCACACACCCACAGTGGGTCCATGCAAAACAAACAAACAAACTCTCTTAACCATTAATTACGTCCTTCCTCATAGGGGGGACAGAGACCAATATAGACACAACTCTTAACGGGGGATCACTCGGCTCGTGGGTCGATGAAGATCGCAGCTAACTGCGTGTCGGTATGTGAATTGCAAGGCTACCAGATACATCGACAAATCGAACGCACATTGCGGCGGCGGCTCGCAAAAGACAGCTGCCGTCACTCCCGCACGAGGGTCTGGAAACCATCCAAAAATCCATGATTAATCAATCAATCGTCCATCGGTCGCTTGCGTCCCGCTCTGGGAAATCACCGGCATAGCCCATTTCCTCCTCCTGCTATTCCTCCTCCTGCTCCGTTGGTAGGTAGGCAGGGAGGAGGCAGGCAGGCAGGCAGGCAGGCAGTGTCGGGGTTTCCCTAATAACCAGTGCCGCACCTGCTGCCGTAGTCATGCATGGCAGAGAAGCCGACGTGATCAGACGTGAGCAAGCTGCCGGGACCGATATGCCAAATCTGTTGACACCGGATGGGAACGATATTACTATGGACGTCGTTTCTGGTGACTACAGCAGAGGGCAGGCAGGTAGGTACGGAGGCAGGAGAAAAGAAGTAGTAATTAGGCCGTGGGGAGGGTATGATGGCTCTGTCTGCCCTGTAACATCCTCCTCATGCTGCTTTCTGCTGCTGCTGCTGCTCCTGCCTCTGCTTGCTCTCTTTCTCTCTCACACATGGGAGGAAAGAGGCGAGCTTAAGCCCAGGTGTGGGTAACAGAGGCTGGCCAGGCAAAAGTATACTAATAATAATAATAATTTGTAGTAATGAGAATGTGGTGGCCACCCCACCTGTGACCTCGTGAGTGGAGAGACCTACCCGCCAAATTTAAGCATATTAATAAGCGGAGGAAAAGAAACCAACAGGGATTCCCTTAGTAAGGGCGACTGAACCGGGTAAGAGCCCAGCGCATAACCTCGTGTCCTAACCCGGCACGAGGGGTGTTGCGTTTCGGAGGGTCCAGCACGCCGTGCCATACCGCCTAAGTTAGAGCATGAATGCAGCCCACTGCCCATGGAGGGTGGGCAGGCCCGTGTGGCGGCGCCCGCGAGGGTAAAGATGGCACGGTCGGAAAGGGCCTCTCCGTAGAGTCGGGTTGCTTGATAGTGCAGCCCAAAGCAGGTGGTAAACTCCATCTAAGGCTAAATATGACCACGAGACCGATAGCGAACAAGTACCGTGAGGGAATGTTGAAAAGAACTTTGAAGAGAGAGTTCAAGAGTACGTGAAACCGTTAAGAGCCAAACGGATGGAACCTTGAAGGTCGAACCGAGGGATTCAGGCGGCCGACCTCGGCTGGGTGCGGTCTCTCTGTCTGTCCGCCGATTCAGTCGGAAGCAGCGACCCACGAATTG